GAGATAGAAAGCACGAGAGGGAAGAGGGTCAGAGGGAGAAGCAGACTCCCTGCTGAGCAGGGAGCCCGATGTGGGACTCGATTCCCGGACTCCAGGAATATGACCTGAGCCGAAGGCAGTCGCTTAACCAACTGAGCCACCCAGGCGCCCCCTCGACTCTTAAAAATAGAGATTGAGGCCAGAAAAGGGGAGCTAAAATAAAGGGGGTGTCCAAGTGTTCCTTTTAGTGGCCTGGCTGAGCAACAGGCCATGCTAAGGGCTGGGATGGGTGTGAGGTACGCCTTTGTTTTGTACAGTGGCAGAAAGGCAAAAAGGGAAAGTGGGAAAGGAAAATCTTGGCCACAAGTGCCTTTTCAGACAGATGGATTCTATGAGAGGGTGCATATGGAAGCAGAAGATCTGGAAATTAATTCCTTTAAAATTCTCCATACCCACACACTCTCTGGGAAGTCTTCACATACACACAAGGGTACATACACTCCAGTTTGAATGGAACTGGTCTACTCAATCTCTGATACAATACAAATTAGAGGTTTTGTGAAACATTTTTAATGCTTTCGAAAAAAATTTAATTAAAATTTAAATTATTTTAACCCTTGAATTTTATTTTAAAATGGCAGTTAATTTCAATAATTTGGAAGGACCCAAATGCTAAAATGTAACCAGATAGTAATAAGCATAACTATAATCTACATGGTAGTTTCATAATGATTAGATGTAATGCATGAAAAGATAGCAGGTCAGTAATAGAGCCATGCATAAAACCCTCCTCTCAAAATCTTTATTTGCATTTCTATTACTGAAATCATTTTCTAATAATGAAGTTGCCATGAGAGAAGCTCCATTACTAAGGAATCACTGTTACAGAAACAACGTTATTAAAGCATTGCTATGTACAGGAACTTTTATTAGAATGATACAAGTTGTATATCATTGTAATAAAGCTTCCATTATAATCCTAATTGCATAAAGCTATGTTTGAGTATAGCAATGCTAGAGCTGTAGGACTTTTAATAAAGTATCAAAATAATGCTTTGGTAATAGGATTGTTTAGCATACTAATACTTCAGGGAAGGCTGAACTGACTAATGGATGATGTTTATGTCACTGATTAGACACACTATAGCAAGAATTAAAAAGAACCCTGCATGTACTTAGTAACATGCAGCCCAGATATGTATGTGTTGAGGTACACATAGCAGTTCTCTTTGGTATAATAACTCATTATGTCCAATTCACTAACTGGTACAATAGCAAATTGCTAAAATAGACATTTGAAACTGTAATAATTAGGATGTTTAATGTTCAGATCTACAGAGAGCTGGTTATCAAAAAATTAACAGTAAATTATATACACCCACAGACATATCTTGAGAATTGCCTGTTAGAAGAACTACTGGAGAAATTGAGTTTTTGTTGGTGGAAGAGGGAGGGTGTGAGGGGAGGAGGGAGGGAGAGAGAGATTAAATATTATATGGATAACTCATTCTAAGATGCTACTCTATGTCATACATAAATGATACCATGATCTTTCTGAGTTAACAACTAGAAGTTACTATCGGACTTAGGTTCATACCAGAGAATTTTAGCATATTTGTTCAAATGTTTGTTTTTGTGTTTGCTCTAATGCAGTCAAGTATTCAGCTGTTCCCTCTAGACGCATATATAATATTCACCACCAGAGACCGCCAGAGAGCCATCCAGTCACCCAGGAGGCATGAAGATGCTCCTTAATAAATCTGCTGTGTGGATACTAGCGAGCAAGGCACCAGGCTGTCTGAAAAGGGCTTCAGCAGAGGCAACGGCATCAGAGGCCCGCAGGTGGTTCTGCCACAGCCATATTCACCGTCAGATAATGGGGCCAAAGCCATTTTGGTTTTGAGATCACTTGTGCCAGATGGATTGACTTAGAATCTGCCTGGACAGCAAAGTACTTTTATCTTTGAACACAGTGTCTCCTTTCCATAGTTCCCACTTGGCCTCTGCCTTCCAGATGTGATAAACTGCAAACAGTTAGGTGGGGTTCACTTAGGGCCCAGGAGGTTCATTTTTCCTACTGAGTCTGGTGATCAAGGGCAAATGCGAACATTCCCACAGTGTGATGGTCCCCAAATCTTTGTAGCACCTGAGAGGAAGGTACAAGATTTCATTTTTTTACTGTATGGTCAGCTGGAATATGTTATTTTTCAGGATTCTAATATTCTCTCATTAAATATGATCAGGCCAAACTAGTTTGCAGTGAGACAGTGAGGGAGTCTGTTTCTGAGCTACAACAAAGTCTGAAATCTCTCAAGGTGGGAGTGTGTGACACTAAGACAATAAAAGAGCTTAATTATCCAACTGGTCAACTAAACGCCTGCAAAAAACAGAAGCATCCAAAACATCTGAAGGTATTTCAACTTCCATGAATTTAACCAGAAATGTGAAATCGGATAATTAAAAAAAAAAAAAAACTATTTGAATTTTGGCATTCACTTGAGTTTGCAGCTTACAATTCTCTAATGTCCTTATTTTTAATACTTGGGGTGGGGGAGAGGGAGGCACCCCAAGCTTTCCAATCAGGTCTTGCAAGGAAAAGCTAAGCTCTCATTGTAAAAAGAATATTCTTTACGCAAAAGTCTTACATCAAAGTGGTGAAGACTCAAGAGGCTTGCATAAATAAATACTGATGGATTGATTTCTTTGGAAACTGATTCTAATTTCACTGCCTCCCATTTCCTTATCTTCTCCACAAACATTTTGTCAGTATCCCCCAAAGTATAGCTCTCCTTTACCCTCCCCCCTCAACCCTTTCCTCTATCTCCTTGAAGACAGCCCGGTCCCACACACCCGCTCTTTCCCTCCAGCCTGCCACAGACTCCTGGTTTCCTCTGCTCCAGTCTCTCCACTCTCACCCTGCACAGATACCTAATTCATCATCCCAATTACCAATTTTATGTCACTCTCTTGCTCAGAATCATTCCTTATTACTCACTGCTTATTAAGCAAAGCTTAACCCTTTTGGGGGCACCTATCCCTTTCAATATCCAATAAGGGCTGTGGACTTTGCAATAATGCATAATGCACACAGGTTTTTGCCTACGATTCAAAGGGTTCACATACACCCTTGAAACTTGGGGATTTGGGACCCTTAAGTAAGAAACCCAAAACTATGAAGCATGAACTGTGTGGCCCTCCATTCAGATTCCCTGCAAGCTGGCAACAATTATTTTTCAAGCCTTACATTCTATCAGAGTACCCCTAATCACAGACAAGAGTTAAGTCTCCACTGAGCACCCACCATATGCTAGGAACTACTCTAAGCCCCAAAGACATAGCAGCAAATAAAACAAAAAAGCTTCTACTGTTGCTCATATTCTAGAAACCCAGTTATCCTGATGTGGTCTTGTCACACCTTGACCTACTACTGCATATCCTCAAAGGTATGCAATTCCTAGTTTTAGAAACCTAGCTCTTCACGTACCTTACACTCTTTTCAACTGGGTTTTTTCTCTACTCTCAGTTTACCTTGTGTTTCCTCATCTCTATGCTGATCCCCCTACCTGGAATAATCCTTCACCTCCCTCTCCATCTACCAAATATTCAAAGGCAATTTCAAGCCTTTCTCTTTTCAGGAAGTCTCTCTAGAATCATTTCAGCTCACAATAAAACTCTCTTCTTATAATCTCGATCTTGTACTTTTTCATATACTGCCTATAGCACCTCTTTAGAGCTGTTTTATTATATAACTTATTACTATCGATTAATTCTGCTGTGTAATCTGTGAATTATCACCCCATCTCTGGAAAGGGGGACCATGTTATAGATTTCTATTTCCTGACCAGTGCTGTCCATCACAGTGCCTCTTACACACACCACCACTAAATCTCTCTTTGTTGGTTATTGCGGATTGATGGCAAGAGATGATGCCACTGGAGTGATAAAACTTCTCCCTAACTTTCAGGGGTGATCCAGAGAAATTTCAGAGAAGCATTCTCTGCTTGGGGATTGATAGCATGACCAAAGTGATGCACAACTTAGCAAACCAACCCAACCACTGTTATTCATCATTTTGATGGTGAGCCACCTATGTGCAGTCATCAGCATGCAGACAATATGTAATACGGTTGTTTATATTCTAAATAATAATTTGCTTTTGCCATCTACATATGGCAGAGATTGGATGCATTCTTATCTGACCTAACCCTCATGTTAATACCTGAATCACAATCTTTGAAGGTGACAAAGGGCATCTTAAAACAAACAAACAAACAAAAACCAGATAGCAGATCATAATGGGTGTAGTGAATGCAGCCTTGTTTGGTGCTATTAGTCACTGTAAATGCATTTGCTATCTCTGTCTGCATCTATAACTCTCACCATCATTTCCTCGCAGAGTAAACAAATGTTGCTTATAAACTTCCCCATAGAGCCTGCCTTTGCAGGATTTTCTAACCTACCAATGTGCTTAACAGAATCAAATGCCTTGTTAAAACCAAGTATATGGCATACAAATTACAATGCTATTCTTAGGACTGTATCAGAGATGGTGTGACTAAATTTCTTAAGCACGATACTTGTTTTCTTTGAAACCTGAAAGAACAATATGTCTTGATTGTTATCCTGGCATGTACAGTTCTACTTGGGCCTCTGCAGTGGCACAGTTGATGTGCCTTTGAAATCCTGAAGAATGTCTTCTACCTTCCAGAGCCTGGGGCAAATTCCATGTGGGTTGTTATTTACCCCGGGTGGCAGATTTCCATAAAGCTACAATCACCAAATGCTCCACCAAATGAGGATTGTTTGATGGCAAAAAATATGAGTGTATCTCTACCTAAGGATAATGTTATTTGTTATTTGAGCTTATGTTCTATACTAACCACATAGTAGTACAGAATTTGCTGACATCATTAATGGAGACGATGTTTAGTGTCAACTTGAGATAAGATCATTAACAACACTAATAGCTAATATTTATTGTGTGGTTGCATACTACGTGCTAGGAATTATCCTAAATATTTTATATTTATGATTTTATTCAATCCATGTAACAACTCCATGAAGTACTGTTACCATTTTACAGATGAGGCAACTGAGGTATGGAGAGGCTCAGTACCTCACTCCAGGCTTACAACTAGTTTGGAGAAGCCAGCATTTGAATCCAAGCAGTTTGGCTTGTTCTTAATCATTATGTTTCTTATACTACCTCTCATTTATTTAGTTCCACTCTTAAACTGGGAAGTAGAGGCAACACTAACTGTACCCTGTCTTGCCATGTCAGGGGAAAAATGGTGTCAGATATTTATCATGACTCCAAACATATGGTGTTCAATGGGTTGGCCCATAGATAAGTGTCTAATGTTAATAATGCTGAGTTTTCCTCCAAGGAACTTTACCTTCACAACAAAACATGTTCCATGCAATTGGTTGTATTATTGACTTTGTGATGACCAACAATTTGTCTGACTAGATGGTTCCAGCTAAGACAAGCACAAAATCACCAGGAATGCTTCTGTTCTTTTTACAACACTGGGGAGAGGGTCCTAGGCAAACCATCACAGACGTTTTCTCTGATAGCTTCTGCTTCTGTAGCTTAAGAAGAAATGCACTAATCAATATCACATTTTGGTCTACTTCGAGCATGACCTTTAATGCAACTCTGATACAAGCTTCTCTGTTTCCACATTTACTAAAAGACCAGCAAAACCTTTATTTGGTGAATATTTTGACTGGAGTGCAAAGTCAGGGCTTCAGACTTGGAATTAATGCTGAATTTACTACTCTATACTCAAGAGTGATTGGCCTTCTGTATCGCCTCTATGTTCTTTGAGCATATGTCAGTCTGAATCATCTATTTGACACTTAGCATTTACTTGCTATCATTAATTTTACTTACTTGTTTCTGTATTCTTGCATGTCTGCCTCTCACATTGCCAGCATCAGGTTCCTGAACCATCTCTACATTGTGGATTTGGAGTCCAAACAAATGGCCTAAATGGCCTAACGTTGCCTTGGCTCTGATTTCTCTGGCTGTTGGAAAAACCTCCATGTAAACAGACACTAAGACAAGTGGCAATATCAAGACAAGTTACCTGGACTGTGATCATCTGACATCTGGGTGTTTTCTAAATTATTACTGAGCTTGGCACCTGATCTTCAGGTTTTTTGAAACTCTTATCAGATCATTTCATGTCAATGAACATTTAATAGCCCTTAGTTAGGCAAAAGTTATGCACTGCTTATGCATGCTATACAATAAAAACAAAATATAGCCACTGCAGTGGAAGAGGTTGCAATTAAGTAGGAACCATGTATCTCTGAACAGTTTCCAGTTGGTATTCTAAATAGGGAAATGCAGAGGCATCATAAGGGCTTGCCATGAAAACTCAGAAAGGATCACCAGGCCAAGTGGGAAAGCATTCCAGACAGAGGGAAGCAAAGGCCTGGGGCTGTGAAACAGCCTGGTGTAGAGAGGGCCACAGAGAGATGGAGAACAGGAGAGAAAGAAGTTATGTGTGTTGGGGGAAAGTGGGATCATGTATTTTCTCAACTGGCAACCCCCCCGCAATGGCTTCACCAATTTTTACACATTTTCCCTCCTAATATTTCCCTGCAACATCATTTCCCTCCTAATATTATTACTTCCCCATCCCTATCATTATTGGCTCACTACAGCAGTTTTCTAATCAAAAACACAGGGGCTCTAGCACTTCAAAAGAAGTTGGAGAATCACTGCGTAGATGTTGAAAGAATAAGCCTTCCATGATAGATCCTCTGTTCACCTGTTCTGCTCCATCTCTGACTCTCTCCCCTGCCCTGGGCACCACCATTAAGGACTGAGTGGAGCCTGTTCCTGGTCATGGTTTTGGGACCCTGCACTCACTGCTTGCTTCCTTTTACCCCCGCTTCCCCGTGTGTGTGACTCACAAACTATTCAGCTCCAGCTAGGTCTTTGCCCCTTCTCCCAGACAGGAAAACTGCACTTGCTCCTCACCCAGCTCTTTACACACTTTCATGATGACTCTTATCCTACTGTTTTGCAATTGCTTGTTTGCAGATTTGTCTCTCCACCAGAATATAAGTTCTTTGAGGGCAAGGACTATGTGCTAACTGTGTCCTAACCCCAGCACTAACCACAGTTCCTTGCTCATAATAGGTGCTCATTTAATATTTGTGAATGAAAGAAAGAGAAAACAGTGAATTACTGCCACTCTCTCCCCAGATTCTAATATTAAGCCTGGAAGTAATAAAATGTGTAGATCAAATTGTACGGTTAAAATCAGCTATTTAGAAGTAATGTTCCCATGTGAAGCAAGCTTTCTCTGTGTGGCCAGGTGGACGCTAGCTAATAGGACATTGGACTATTGCATGTGATTAGCCCAGCAGTCCTCCCTGGATGGTGCACTGAACTGTGTTAGGCTGCTAGCCCCTCTCAGTAACAGAAGCCTCAGTGGAGATGGCTGGTGAAAATCTCTTCACTATCTACAATGCCACAGTTAATCAGAGGGAACTATTTGGATTACAAAACCATTACATGCCAAGAGTATGTCTCTATGTAGGACCTAGTAAACAGTCAGTGCCTATTAAGTGTTGACTATTAATTCAGTCTTTTCACCAAAAAATAAGACAATCAGTGGAACCACCATCCTAGCATGCTAATTAATTCTCTGTGTGAAAAGAAATGCTAATCTCCATTTTAAAACATCAATCATGGAAAATAAACTGAAATGTGACCAGATTTTTAAATGCTACTTGTTCTAAAATCAGATGTAAATGAGAGCTTCCAGGATTCTGTAAGAGGCGATTATATGGTGCTAAGAAACTCCATTTAAACTCAATCTTCTAGGAAACTTTAAAATACTTTTTCCAGTTTAAAACTGTTCCCTAATATCACCCTATATATGCTGCTTTCCTTGTCTAAGAAGCTTTGCTCTATAAAAATTTCTCCCGATTTCTAAGTGAAATATTACAGGATTTCCCAGAAGCATTAGCGACGGTTCCTTAGCAACTGTTGATATGTCTCAAAACAACCTGAGACAATCTTCTCTGAGACATATATCTCTCCCTCTCTCTGCTAACAGAATTCCACAATATGGCACAAAAGATTCGTGTGGCTAAAAATAACTGCCGACACACATTTTTAAAGTTGACGGAGTCTTAATGATTTAAGTCTTCCATATCACAGCTTGGGATAGGCGCACCTCAACAACAGTATATCAAAGGGTTCTGTGCAGAGAGATTTTAGAATCTTTTTCTTTTTTAATCACACCATTAACACTCTTGACATTTCAGAAATAATGTTTATCGATTTTGGTGTTAGCACTCCCATAAATTAAGTGATGTAATGGATGGAATTATTGTGGTACTATAAAAAACGTGTCATTCAGATTGTTAACTACATATTAGAAAAAGCACACACTCTGGATTCATGTAAAAATAGCCTCAGATCTGGATAGTAAATAGAAGATGAAGGAAACTGACATATTCCAATGATTGATGGGTTTATCTCCACCATTCCCTCCTGGCTGTTGTACCAAAAACAACTGAATTTGTTTAATAAAAGCAAGCTATAATAGCAATGATCATTCTGCGTGCACACACACACACACACACACACACTCACACACGCCACCCAAGGATAAAAATAAGACACATAAATTCAAGGTTATTCACCCCAAAGAAGTCAGTATAATGAGAAGTATTAGGAAGGGAGAAAAAAGCATTTAGAACCAGTAGCAGAAAACCACATGGTACAGAAAGCAAAAACGGCCCCTAATAATCTGTGGGCTATAAGCTTCCACAAGCAATTTGCATCTTTCACTAGAAGAAGAAAGACAGAGTCTAGCCAAAATCTGTGATTATGGTTCTGGAGTGGAGGTAGGTAAAGATGGAAATGGTAAAATCACTGAGTAATGGGCAGATTGAAAGAATTCATCTGTTTGTGTGTGTGTGTGTGTGTGTGTGTGACATATATAGGATTCACACCTCATAGGGTTATTATGAGGAGTAAACAAAGTAATGCACATAAAAAATAACAGTGCCTGATATACAACAAGTGCTTAACAAATGTTAATTGTGATCATCATCATCATCACCAACACCATTTTTCCATTTTATATAGGAGGACACTGAGTTTCCAAGGAAGTTAAGTAACTTACTCAAGGTCACACAGCTATCAAGGCACTAGGCAGAAGCTGATGTCTGCCTAATTGCAAAGCCCATGACCTTTTCAACTTCACTACAGGTCTAAGCATTCTTACAGAAGTCAAGCATTTTGCTTCTAGGAAATGGGTTGCACACACACACAAAAAAAAGTGTGTGTAAACTGCCGCTACTATCTTCATTCCTATAGTTGTAAACTCAAATCTATTGAAAACTCTTAATAGCGTGAGTGTTATTGGCTAGGCATATTAGAATAATCTACTGCTAGATTAAGACATTTCCTGGTCATAGGTTAAGTATCTAGAAGTGGCTTTGGCTGAAGTGTTGCCCATCTGTCATTGATCTCCCATTCTATACATATCCAATTAGCATTCTTGAAGTTACACAAGTTGCTGAGGTGACTAACTCGATTGTGTTATTTCAAAACAATAATATTACTGTGGGTATAATGAATAATTTTACCATATAAGAACATAAAATCCATTCATTCAAGGGTCCATTAAGTAAGTCCGAATATAAATTAATAATATGCGTCTGTGTTCTAGTTTGAATATACAGAAAGAAAAGTACTTGAAAATAAAAGGGCAGAAGATTTATTTTTAGTCCAGGATATACTGAAGAGTTAATAGTCCTAAGCCAGTGTGGCTCAGGGCCAGAGCAAAATTCACTAATTTGAATCTCTTTTTGTTGCCCTTCCTCTTTGCTCTCAAACAGACAAGCTAATAAGCAGTGAGGACATATCTAGGAACTACAGAATATTTCTGCAGTTTCTATTTTCTAAATCATCAAGCTGTTCTTTAGTTTTATAGAGCAGTTTTTCAATTGTTGAGGATCTTTCTGCAGAAAGGCAATTTGATTTCTATCCTTGGCTTTTCGATTTTACATTCCATCATCACTAAACATTGATTAAGCTTGCTGCAATACACTCCCTTCTATTTGGGTCTTTGAATACTCAGAAAGTCATTATTTATTACAATGCAACAATCTGGAAATATTTTTAAAATATGCTTAATGCAGGTGCTTCATTTATCAGTGTTAACCTTTGTTTTTCTGTTTCAGGAAAAAATGAACTGATGTTTCTTAACAAATATGGCACATCTAATTCTAATGTTTTTGAAAGGATATATAAAAATTAAAATTCTTTTTCTGAGAATATCATCATTAAAAAAAAAAAAAAAAAAACCTCAGGTCTGGTAGGCAGCTTTCTAAAACGGCTCAATAATTCTTATCTCCTGGTATTCATTCCCTTGTGCAATCCCCTCTCCCCGCACGTGGGCTGGACCTCATTACTTGCTTCTAATGAGCAGAATACGGCCAAAGTGATGAGATGTCACTTCCATGATGAGGCTACAAAAGGCCGTGGCTTCTACAATACTAGCTGTTTCTCTCTTGCTGACACTCTCTTTTGTCCTCTCACTTCCTCAGTCTGATGGAGCACACTGCCATGTTGGAAGATGCTCGATGGAGAGACTCATACGGCAGGGAACAAAATGAGGCCTCGTCCTACATCCAATGAGGAACTGAGTCCTGTGAACAATCATGTAAGTGAGCCAGAAAGTGGATCCTGCCCAGTTGAACCTTGACATGACTGCAGCACAGTGAGAAACCGAGGGCCAGAGGACCCAGCTAAGCCATGCCTGTTTTCCTTACCCACAGAAACTGGAAGATAATAAATGTTTAGGGCACTAAATTTGCGGGTAATCTTTTGCACAGCAAAAAATAACAAATAAAAGCTCTAAAATGCATAATGTCATCATTCATACTATTTAGTAAATATTTATAAGAGCCTCTCATATGCCAGGCACTTGGCTAGATTCTAGGAATGCTGTGGAGAATGGAACACATGTGGCCCTTGTCCTCTGGGCCCAGGAGAAGACTGCCCTATATGCCCTTCCTTGACGGGCACTTTGCATTTGGGTCTCCACAGGAACTTTGATGAGTGTTT